AGTTCTTTTACAATTAAAAAAAAATAATATAGTAAGAAATGGTATAAATACATATTTACTAAAGACATTAACTATCGTTAATTATCATATAGTTTACCTTTAGTTACAGAATTATTTTTGTTTATTTCTTCGACATACATCTACCAAATATTTGTTTGTGTGCGGAGTTAATAGGAAAAATGTACTATGTAAGTTTAACCAAAATTTAAAATTATTAAAATGTATCAAAAGTACTTCTAACTAATAGGTACCTAATGGTATAACGGAAAGAGCACAATATATTACATATAAATAAAATATTTAAATATCAAATCATAAACTATAATAAATAATAATAGAATATATGTTATTGTGTTGATACTAAATGTGAATAACACACTTACACATACGCACTGTAACTTACACCATAATATTATAACACATTATTTTTTTATAGAATATTGAATTTGGCAACGTTGGAGAAAAAAGCGTGCTCAATCGTAATGGGTACTTGCCTCCTAAAAATGTTGCTCTGATAAACACAGTGCTCAATCGTATTTTACCATAATTTTAATATTTAAACCGATGTACCTAACAAAAGTATCACAAGACAATAGTATAATATATTATTATTTCTGTTTATACCTAACTTACTGTAAATAATAATGATCGATGAACCTATGTATGTACATAACGTGTCCTACCTAATCTTGTTTTGATTATTGTACATTTATAAGTATATACTTAAGCAGTTATAAACAATATAGTTACCGAACTTCTAAATTTCTGAACATATATTATAATGATTAACTAACCTTTCTTATTTACAATCATTAAAATAGGTACTTAAACAAAACAAAAAAGTCTTATAATAGGTTACCTATATTACCTCTATTCCTTTTACGGCAATCGTTTAGTTGTTTATAATATGATATACACAATATACTTAGGTAAATACAATACAATGTACCTACTCAACCACTGCTCAAGTACCGAAAATTTTTCACTAACACCTTATAAAAAAAATGTACAATTATTGCATTGCTGTTATGTTCGCATTGCCTACAGGTCGAATCAAACAATAGACGCCGAAATAAGTACCATAATTTTTATTAGACTTTACATCTCCATATCGAAGTCAATGATTTTTTAATGAATAGCATATTATACAGAACATTTTGGTACAACCATTAATTGTTACACTTAGATATGCTGCTATCATCAAAATAATATATTATCATCCTTTTATTTTTATTTTATATTTCTATAGTTCTATTTCATTCAAGTTCAAATTATTTTGTAATAAATCTGTATCCGATTTTCAATTTATGAAAATGTCTATATTATAAACTGCGTATACCAATTTTTAAAACTGTATTGTGATTTTATGCAAATAATGCATAAAACTGTACGCTAATATATTATTATATTATCTGTATACTGTATACATAATGTATATATATATATATAGGTTATAGGGACGCGGAAATGTATAAACGCACTGTACGGTATACCTCATAATTTTATTATTAAACACTTCCGGACGGATATTAAAACATGGTTGTTAAAATGTTTGCATCACATTATTTCGTCGATTTGTCATTGCAAATATGCAAAACAGTGAAATAGAGTTATTGTTATTATATTATCTGCAATATTGATTCATCGTTAGGTGTCCATGAAATGATATTATATTTTACATTTATTATGCTGAAGCGTGTGTGCATAACTGGTCTCTTAATAATATATTCTATAATACAATGTTGTAAGTTGTCAATACGGTTATAAATTATAATAATTGATAGGCAAATGACAACATGTATAGCACGTAGGTAATTATAATATTATAGTGGATGATGAAATATTCTGTTTGACGTGATCCTCCTCATATTCGGAAGAATAAATAAGGTACACGTACAAATATTAGGATAAATGCTGCTACGATTTATAGTTATAATTCCCTATAAATATTGACAACTGTTATGAAACACCGTGGTAATACCACATAGGTACAAATGTTATATATTGCTCGCTTATTGTGTCGGTATCTAATCTAACACAAATATTAGATTTGGTCGTTTCGTAAAACGTCAATTGATCCGTGATTAAGCCTTAATTCGAATCACGTAGTTCAAATGTTTTGAAGGTACACACAAAGGAAAAAAGAGTTAAACATTAACAATATTTCACCCATAAAAATAATAACAAAACTTGTTGGATATAGGATCTTACCTATACTTCTACAATGCACTAAAGCCTGGGCAAGTTAATGATAATTTTTAATTGAGTTAAGTTCAGTTGATAAAAAACATTTTGAAAAGTTTAAAGTTAATAGTTGTCCTATTTTTTTTAACTCGGCTAAGTTAAAAGGCGTTTGGAAACTTACAGTTAACTTAAGTTATGTATTTATTTATTTTTTAACATGGTTTAAAATAATAAAAAGTAAATGTTTATGAAAATGTATTACATAGGTAGTGTTTATTATTAAATTATTTCTAAATTTAAGAAATTGGTTTTGAATAAAAGTAATATGTTATTTATTAAGTTTAAAAATTTAAAAATTTAACGTTAACTTAACTTTAACTTTTTGACTCTTCTATGCCCAGGATTGATAATTTTACGCTTTTGGATGTACGTAGTCACTTTGACGAATGCAGATAATTATGCAAATATACAACACATATTTTATCAAAAATATAACTGTTATTATAAATTACCTTAGTCGATGACAAGATATTTATATGCTACCTATATGTATTATATTATAAAATATTATACTTATTTTTTAAAAATGATTTTATAAAACTATTTTTTCCATTAATATTTTACTAAAGTCTATGAGGAGACTAAGCATAGGATGTACATACGAATAATATCAAATTATGTATGCAATGTTAAACTTGTTTGTTCCAAAAGTGAAAAGTCCTGCATCAAGCCATAACTCACTTAAGTATTTTAAACTTTTACAATCTCACACTATTGCCATATTATAATTGTCTCCGTGTGGATAAATTGTTTACAAACCTGAAAATTGTCGCTTTATATTATATGGCTACATTTTTATACGTACCTAGTTCACACAACGAAAATTTGTTTTTTCTCCTAGCGCTTGAAAATATGAGATGGTAAATGTACCTATACCTACGGCTAATGTATGTAAATACCTAAAAACTGAATAACTTATCTCCATTGAGTGTACAGTTATTATTTATTTACTAGTTATATCTACATGTACCTACCTGTATTATAATACCATACTTAAATAAACATATTATACATATTAGTATATTATTTTCGTAATAATAATCATTGATCATGAAACGTTTTTATTTTTAGTTCTGTGGAGGGAGTTAAAACCTTTTCAGTATCTACACCGCGCTGATCACTGTACAATGCACATAATATGTATAATATATATCTGTATACCATATAATAGCCAGTATTTATAGAAATAATATTTAATGCTAGGTTACATCACTACGACAATTTTAAGTTTGGAGATAATAACTAGCAACAGCAACAAAACATAAACTTGCTATTTACATCAAAAAAACAATATGGAAACATAGGTATAAGAGACAAATTAGGTATTACATATATATTTGAAAATTCAATTTGACGGATGTTGTGTCAACACCCGTTTACTCACACCCGTTTACTCGTTTACACTTGCAAATAGACTGCAAATGTCACCCAAAACAGAAACCCTTTGATGTTTACAGCTTTAGAGCGGACTCGAAAATTTCTCTAGAAACACGAACGTAATTGTGTCGCCAGTTTGGATAATGTCGCAGAAATGTTTCGGCATTTAGTCGGCAGACGGAATTTCGTTATTTCGTTGGCTCGGTGCGGTAATCCTGGCATAGCAATGCAATTCAAATGCGCTTACCACATCTATCATGTTTCATGAGCATTCGTTTGATGACAAATGATATCGCATGCACCTATAATTAATTTAAGATCAATTTAGAATTGCGTATGGATATATTGCTACATTTAAGGTTTAGAACTTTTCTGCAGTCAATTGATTGGCAATTGCCGTGCTCGAGTCATCGGCTGATGTTTTATATCTCATATTATTATTTTTATTTATTTATTAGAATTAATGCCGAACGGTTTTCGGAACAATACAAACAAAGTAACAAAAATTAACAATCTTATTACAAACGTAAGATATAACAAAATAAATTGTAATAACTTATAACATATAAAAATAACTTTCAATTAGTTTCACAGAGAATTACATATATTTAAAAGAATATTGTGAGGCATTGAAGCCGGCCGGGGTACGAAAAAATTACACATTGCCAAATTGGCTATCGACATCATTCTGATCAGGGGAGAATTATTGGCAAAATTATTATGGTCAACTAGTAGGTAAATTAATAATCCCTTAAACCTGATGCTACCAGAAACACGAGTATTGAGTCGTCCTAACAAACGGGGTGTATCGATATTTCCTTCATTAAGCCCACTAATAAAACGACAACCGGAGTAACGATATTACGGAGTACTTGGGTAACGATTTAAAACCAAAAACATCGCTGATGGCCATGCTATAGTTCAAAAATACTCGACCAAAACTACTAAAATATAATTGTTTTCAAAATACGAGTATATAGAATTACTCCTGTCTTGCAACGCGTATTTCGTAAACCGCGTATTTCTGTATATCTCAGTTTATCTGTATACCGATGACTGTACACCTTTATAATATTATGTACCTTATCTAAACAGCACCTACCAATAATTATCAATTATGATGGAATAATGTACATATCGATGTACATCGGTTTTAACAAAATTATAACAAACATAATCATTCCTCTGTTGTACCTAATATTATGATACGTGTAAGTATATCCGATAATATGCTTTATTATGACACTAATAATTATATTATTATAACTGTCTATAGAGTTTTGTACTTTGAGTCTATGTCACACTTAACGACCGACGTTATCTCACTTGTTTTTATTGGACGTATTTTATAAGATAACTAATGCCTTATTATTGACTTTTTTTTCTTCTGAACAATCGTTCAAAACTCTTCAGGCACTTGCGACCTGTGATCACCAGTGATCTAACCTATAACCGATATAGATATACCTATATTAATTTCATTCGAATCAACTGTTCATGCTTTTTAATAGTAAATTATTTTAATATTTTTTAAGTTGCCAATTTTTCAACTTTTTTCAACAAACTGTGTCCAATAAAAACACGTGATATTATGCTCTTCGACGAATCCAGACGTCAACATTTTACCAATCATATAAAGGTAATAAATGCGTATTAAAAGATTTGAAAATCGTATAATAACCACTTGTAAATAATAATTAATTATCCAATACTAAATACATATAGATTTAAGATACAATTCAAATTTTAATTATTGCCGTCGTTACCGCTATTAGGTGTACGCTTTCTCGGCTTAATTTTATTTTATATTTTTTACAAATAAATTATGAAAATATTATATCCATTTGTAAAATGTGTTTAATAGGCCCACCAGTGTATTCGTACAATGGATGTAAATACTAAATGTAGAGAGACTTATAATTTTTAGTTGCTTCTTTCCTATTGTATATATTATTTTTATATAATAATATGTAGGTATATGTATGGCATTTTCAATTTGCAGAACGTTGTTCTCGACCGTAATGGTCATTAAATATTTTTATGGTCTGTTAACCCGCACATTTATACACAAGTCAAGTCATCACCACGATCTATATTATTATTAGTAATGTAAAACAAAAGAAAATAATTGTTTGCATACTCGACTACCAATAACGTATCAACCAGCGCGTACCTATATCACTGTGATTATTTATACAGTCAAATCAAATAGTACAGTATTAATTAAGCTGTGCTGAAACGATGCACAAAAGACGATATTATAATAATATAGTGTCTTTGATACCTACTCACAAACAAAGACCAAAGTTCACGTTTAACAGGCATGCCATGCACTTCATGTCTTCACGAAGTTTATCTGTTTGTTTGCCAAATATTAAAATAAATGCTAATAATGTCATTAAAACGTGTCATAATGATTCACGACGTTCATTCCTTTGCAATTTAATTGATATTTACTAAGGGAAAATGGCGGTTAATTATCATATTAAATGTGCAGGTTTGATTATTTACATTGAGAATTAATTTTTATACCATTGTTAAGATTGTATTAGAATCGTTATTAATTATTATACTAAATATTTAATATTATTAAATGTGTAGGCAACGTTTTTCGAAATATTTCAGTTGATCCTAAAAATGTTCTGTAAAAATATAATAATTGGTTAGACGATAAACATATAACTTACAAATTATTAAAATAAATTTGGCAGACCATCAAATTGTATACACTATACGTTACTACACACTCTTATTTTTGATGTGTTTTAGATTCTGAGAGAAGCGATTATTATAGTTTTACAGTGATGTATCTATGTATTTTTAATTATATTTTTATTTTTAGGGTCTATCGTCACCAATACTTAACAAGTGTTTCATTTTTAAGGGTAGTTTTTGGTAGAAAATGGTATCTAATAGGTCAAAAGTGAAAAATTCCCTGTACTTTTCAAAATAATTGGGTGAAACAGAACAGAATTTTCCACATTAGTTTGAGATAAAATCGATCTTATTTTTTCATTGTTATCCAAAAAATGAATTACTGTAGAAATTTGAACTTTTCAACAAATCAATATCATTTTTATATCATGCAGCATTTTCTAGACATGGTATACTTTTCAAAATATTATTTTGTCTCTCTTTGTGCTTTTTAAAAATATTTGAAATTATCTACCTACCTACTTTTTTTAGTTATTTTCCGATTCACAAATGATTAAAACTATTGTCTGTGAATGAAAAGATTGAACTTTTAATACAAAGTTCCTTATTCGTTTTCCACTGTTAAAAAATATCTTAAATTCATAGTCACTTTTTCTTATATAAGCGTTTAAAGTTCAAATGTTTATGAAATTCATCAAAATCACAAAATATGTAAATTATTTTGTAGTTAAAAATTCATAAAGTTTCTAATTTTATCACTATAGATTGAACAATTGAGTTCCAGATTCATTATACGTTTTTTATATTTGAGATTAAAAAAAAATTTAACATAAATATATATTTTTATATGTGATTAAATTTTAAATGTTGATAAGCAGGCTTAGGAGTATGCTTATAACATTAAAAACTCGTTAAATGGATGCAAATAATCCAGAAAAAATATTAGTAAAATATGGCATTAATAAATAGGTAGGTTAAATGTTTTTAAACCATTTTAAAGTTGGTATGAAAATGTGAAAAAATATAATTAGAATTTAAATTCCGAAAATGTTAATACTATTAAGGCTATAATTAAAATACTTTACTTTGAAGTTTTGAAACAGGAACTTTCTGTCTGTTTTACTTTTGATTTAATTTAATTTAAAAAATTAAATTAAGTTTATAACAATATTAAAACTATTATCCTAATTTTGTACATTTTCTCCAAATTAATTTGAACGATAAGACTTTTTTTGAGACTTTCGAATAGGAACTTGAGGTGGTTGTCGGATTACATATTTTTACTAATCTTAAAAATTGCTTTTGATATCCGGGTTATTGTTCAACACAAATTTTATTTTATTTTTAATAACTCTAATATTGTTTGGTGCATTTTCTAATAAGTCTTCAGTTTTATTTATTATTTTAACAGACTCAATTAATAATAATCCACATGGTTTTAATCGAGTTATTTCCGTTGTAAGTAAGTAAAATAAGTCTTATTACAAATAAAGTTGGTTTCTAAATTTGATTTTTCAAAAAGTTATTGAGAATTTGTTTATAGAAACTGCGTTTTTACAGTTATCTGTGAATCTGTTAATCGATGATATAAATTATATGAAATAACATTACTATAATTATATATGATATATGCGATTTGTTTTAGTAAAAAAAAAGTCGAATCAACTAGTAGAATATTAACTAATAGAAAAAATAAATTATTAATAGCAATGCACAATTATAACAACTTGTCCTTAGAAATACCAATAACAGCTGAAAAACTGTCTTCGTTCAGAATCGTTTTTTTTGGAAATAAGTACCTACAATTATTATTTATTATCGTTCGAATTAAACACATCTATTACAACGACCTATTTAATGAGGTAGCTACACCCGATGAATTACTGTACAGCCGAGTGACTTCCCCGATTGTGTGTTTATTTTGTTCAGCAAAAGTAATGTTCTTCAATATTAGGGCTCGGAATTGAAGGCAAAATACATTATTTTTTCGAAGTACCAGGCAATGCTTTTCAAGTACGAAATTATACATTAGATAATTGAAAGCTTCGACTTTTATTTCGCATTGTTTTGCATTTTTAGCAATTTTTGTGTTTTTGTAACATTTGCCAATTTTTATAATTTGTTTGTAATTTTGTTAATTTTCAGTGCATTTTTAATTATACATTAGGTATATGCGTTTTTAGATTAAAATTAATTAAAATTCAAAATATTAGCTCAAGCAATTTTGTTCTGACCATTTATCATTTGTCCACCTAATTATGATTTCGATACGACGATAACATCTTTATCTATACCTACAGTGTGATTAAAGACTAATGATCGTCCGAAACTCAAACCGGCAGTAACAAATAATTGGTCATTTAGTGTTACATCATATTCTCGTTTATTTCTTAAAATTCGTACTTACGATTGCACAAAAAGTGTTTGAAATAATGATGGGTTATTTTTTAAGGATATTGAGGTTGAAATGTATATTTTAAAGGTATTTTTTTTTTTTTTTAAACATTTTTGACTAGTTTTTTGTGCATTTATGTATCTTATTAATTATACCAGTTCGTATACACTATTATACGGCTGACAACTGTATTACCTTATTAATTTGTATGTACATACAAATAACCAAAACTTTTGGTTAACTATGATCATATTATAACATAGTTTATAAAATAAACAATACACGAATATTGGTACATAATGGTTGCTTATCTATTATTGGTGTACATAAGAAAATAGAAAACTATAATCATACGTAGGTATAAGTATTATTTAAAACTCGTATTTAGGAACAAGATAATAAGATTAAAGGTTTATTTTAAATACAGTACACAGATCTTATATTGGTATCATAGTATAGTTACACCTACATTGCAATTAATCCACTATAATGAAGCCCAGCTGTTTTTTGACACTGCGACTACGAAATCTAGGTTTTTTAATAATATATAAGTTAGGTATACTTAGATTTGGGTATTTAAATCTTTAAGGTTCACACAATAAACGTTTTATAGGTAGGTGCCTACCTACAGAATTATTTTACAACTCGAGCAATTTAACTAATCACGAATGACACTTCAAATAATCGTATAAAATGCTACAAATTTAAACTTAAATTGATTAAATTGACTTCGATATAATCACGTGTTCGGAACTTCATAGAATATACTTAATATAGTTATATTATACTTATGTTGAATGTTGCAACTTGTAGTAATTAATGGCAATAATGCGCTAAGTAGCAATTATTGTTTTTGCATATTTAATGTGTCCATTTCAGAATAAAGTACCCATAAACTTTAGTGAAATAATTAATAAGTAGATTTAAAAAAAATATATTTAATCTACCATTATATCTACCGTGTAAAAAATGTTGTTCAGTTGATACATGCTATAGATATTAGATTATAATATCGTATTTATTAAGATGTATAGCATTATGTTTACAGTTTACCTACACAAGATGTACAATACGATATTATAATATACAAATATGCACATAATACCTATTTTCTTATGTTATGTTTATGTCATGAAAGAATAAACATATTACTTTTGTATATTTGTATATATATATGGTACCTATGTATGTAAAATACTTATTTGATATTTGGTTATAGTTTGAAAACAATGATTATTTTAATTACATAAATCATGTAAATAATGTAATCGACAACTATAATAACCATGCAGTTAATACCTTAAACAATAATGAAAAGACAAACGTGAAATGATTATTGGATTGATCAACAATCACGAGAAAAAGATTAATTGCTTATAGAAATAAAACCATCAATATCATAAAAATCATACTATACGTTTGTCTGATGTATTTGCATGTTGAAACCGTAATCGGTAGATAATGAATACTGAACATAGGTTTCTCTAAGTTCCTAAGTACTATCAGAAATAATCGAATAAAAATGACTTAAATCATTTGAAAAAATATATATGCCTAACATTATGATGAATTGTTTATAATGTTTATAT